TTTAGGATGACTTTAGTGAACCTCTCGAACCAAGCTCTGGGTGATTGTTTTAACCCGTATAGAGACTTGTTGAGCTTGCACACCTTGTTACTTCCTTCAACAGACTTTAAGCCAGGTGGCAATTTCATATAGACTTCTTCTTCTAGCTTGCCATTAAGAAAACGTTTTTTACATCAAGTTTGTGTAATTTCCAATCGCAATTTATAGCCAAACTTAGGAGTACTCGAACAGTATTCAGCTTCGCCACAGGTGCAAAAGTTTCTGTGAAATCTATCCCATATGTTTGTGTAAAGCCTCTGGCCACTAGTCTCACTTTGTATCGTTGGATGCTACCATTGGAGTTATACTTTACAGTAAAGATCCATTTACAACCAACAATCTTTTTTCCTTAAGGAAGGTCCGTAACGGTCCAAGTAGCTTTTTTCTCTAGTGCACAAATTTGCTCTTCAATAGCCTTCTCCATTTTGAATCCTTTAGAGCTTCAGCTATGCTTGTGGGAACCTGTTCTTTATCAAAGTTTGCTGTAAATGCTTGAAAAGACGGCATCAATGAATTATAACCAATAAATTTTTCAATAGGATGCTTGGTGCACTGTCTAACCCCTTTTCTAATAGCAATAGGGAAGTCATCTAGAGTAGGGGAAGTGGACTTACTGATTTATTCTTCTATTTCGGCAGTTGACCCAAATCCAATTCTCGGCAAGCATCAGATTGCAAAACAGTCTTAGGAATATGTTTTCTTTTCCTTGTATAGAAACGGAGCTGTTTGATTGGTGTTGTTTGTGGAATATTTTGAATGGGAGTAGGTGTATTTTCAGGAAGGGTATTTAAAGTGGGTATGGGTGAAGTAGTGATAGGTACTACTGGTGGATTAATGAGAGTAGTTACAGGTGACAAATCTGTAGGTAAGAACAAAATTGGTGGCAATTCTGAAGGTTGAGAATGAAGAGTAGGAGGAGATACCTGATGTGGCTGAAAATCCTTTCATGTCTCCCCCTGAATTTCAGCCTGAGTGAAATAGAGACCTGCTCATAAAATGTTATATCCATAGTGGTAAAAAATCGTTTTGAAGGAGGATGATAGCATTTATAACCCTTCTTTAAGTGAAGAATACTCAATCAGTACACACTTTAATGATTTAGGATCTAACTTGGACTTATTAGGAGCAATGTTTTGGATAAAAACAGTACAACCAAATATTTTAAGGGAAGAATGGAGGAGATAGGTTTAAAATGGGGAAAGTAATGCAAAAATATAGATTGAGGTGTTGAAATTGTAAAACCTTACTAGGCATTCGATTGATTAAATATGTGGCAGTTAATAAGGCTTCCCCCACAAATATTTTGGAACATTAGTGGTAAATAGAAGAGAACGAGCAACTTCAAGGAGGTGTCTATTTTTTCTTTCGGCAATACCGTTTTGTTGTGGGGTGTTAACACAAGAACTAATCTGAACTATGCCTTTTTCCCTAAAAAACGCACCCAAAGACTTAGCAAAAAAATCACTGCCATTATCAGATTTAAAGAGCTGAATTTTAGACCCAAATTGAGTGAGAACCATGTTATAAAATTGGGTAAAAACACCAGCAGTTTCAGATTTATCTTTTAGCAAATAAATCCAAGTTATCCTACTGTGATCATCAATGAAAGTGATAAACTACTTACAATTATCAGCATTCTTCACCTGAGAAGGGCCCCAAATATCACTGTAGATCAAAGCAAAAGGGTGGGAAGGCTTATATGTAGAAGGAGAATAAGTTGATTTAGTATGTTTGGCAAGAGAGCAAACTTTGCAAGAAAAAAAATTTGGCCTTTTATGAATGAATAGAGCAGGAAAAACTTTTGCAAGATAGTGAAAACTAGGATGACCTAAACGATAGTGCCCATAACATAACATTATCAACTTTTTCTAAAGCGGTGAAAGATTTCGAGATTTCGGTTTTAATAGAGACAGGAAGAATGTAGAGACCATTCTGCAAGCTGGCCTTACCAATCATCTTCTTCGAGTTCAGTGCCTGCAAAGTACAATCAATATCATTAAAAATTGCAGAGCAGTGCAAGTCGGTGGAAAGTTTACTAACGGAAACGAGATTGCAAGCCAGATTTGGTACGAAGAGGGACATTTTTAAGTACAATCTGGTCATTGAGAATAACAGTGTCATGTCCTTCTATTTTGCACAAAGAACCATCAGCCGTTTTGACAGCCTTACTAAAGTTTGGAAAAAAATTGCAAAACAAATCCTTATTACCAGTCATATGATCCGTAACACCAGAATTGAAGATCCAATTAGGGGACGACTGGGAGGAGAAAAAAACTGTAGCATGAGGTTTACCTTCTGGTTCTTTCATGACCAGATTACCTTCTGATTGAGCAGCAGAACCAGAAAAATTTTATGGATTTGAAGTGATCTCCGGAGTAGGAGAAGAAGTTGTGGACATCGTCTAGGTTGGAAAGAAACCGTAACCTAAGCTGATACCATGTAGAAATCAGAGTAATTCTCTGTATTTCTTATTCTTTTCAATAGGACAAATTACATATTTATATACAAATCATCTCTCTAAAGTAGGAAACTCTAAGAAAGGAAAGATACTAATCCTAGGAGATATGATCCCTTAAAATAAGTGATTGTAAAATATTTACAGAATCCCTTAATTAAAGGATATTTACAGAATCATATATTTCTATAATTCCAACAGGGGTGTCCTCCGAAACAATTTGGGTGAGTTGCTTCTCTCGTTGTCATTAAGTATTGGTAATGTTTCCTCATTGATGGCTGAGGTGATGGCGGTGGAGCAAGCCTTAGACAGGTTTATAGCTTCGAATTGGTCTGTTAATTATAGGCTGGTAATTGAATTGGACTGTGAAGTATTGGTTAATTGGCTGTCGAATGTCTCTATGGTTCTGGAGAATGGTCCACCTCGATTCTTCCTATTGCTTCTCGTATGGCTCAGGTGAAGGCGGTTATTAATTTTGTTCCTAGAAAATGCAATGCCATGGCGGACTGGTATGCCAAAAAGGCAATAGGGTAGAGGGGTTTTTTCAGGTGGAGTGCAGGTGCCAACGAGATTGGGGTGATGGTGGGTCTTGCTTCTGTTAAGGAGTGGAGCATTCTCGGGTTGAGGGAGAAGATTGCTAGGCCTAAGTGGAGTTAGAGGTTGAGATTTTTGGTTAGGTCTCCTATGTATAGCATTTTTCCGTTCGTTCGCTTTGGTTTTGGCACGAGTCAGTTTTGTTCTAGTGTTTTTCGGTTAGGGTGCACTCTTTTTCCTTCAATTAGGGTGAGGAAGGTTTTTTAACAAGGCCCCTTCCGAATGATAACGATAGTTATGCTTCTGAATAAATTTTCTTACCTTTCTAAAAAAATGATCATGGACATATCTCTGTTGAAGCTCCAAAATAAATACGCTTAGCTAGTAGACAACTGTATCCCCATTCTGAAATAGGAAAATATCAGCTTCTTGTTAACTTTTGAGAGTATACAATTTAATAGAGGATACCGATGTTAAGAGCAGAGGAAGACCAAAGGAACTAAGTAGAAACTATAAAAGAGCATCTCAGTTTTACTAGCTGAGTGAGAATATAGTGTTGAATTGAACTCAGTTGCACAATATGATGCGTGTAGCTTATTCAATGGTGATGGGGAACATTGTAGACTGTAGTTGTATCATAAACGAGGATCTCAAGTTTACTAGCTTATTGAGAATATAGTGTTGAATTCGAGTTCAGTTGCACAATATGACGCATGCAGCTTGTTCAATGGTGGTAAGGAATAGCTTAGTTATTGTTTGTAATGTATTGATAATACACCAGATTCTTGGAAAACTTTTTTTCTTTTATTCAGGATAGGGATGTTCATTAGAGTTGTCAGGCCAATCTCTATTTGAGCTAGCATTACAGGTCATCTTGGAATGTAGTACTTAACCTTTTCTTTATAACTATGATCTAATTTGTTTACCAGTTGAAATCTAGTTTCTAGTTGATAAAGACTGTGGAAAGCAGTTGAAATAGAAGGCAGTATCCACTATTTTAGATTCTCTAGCAAGCAAAAATATAAGAATAGAATGATAAGAGGTGAAGAGGTATCATGCATTAGTTACAAAACTTGTCTTATTATTTTAAACTATGTTAGTTTCTCAAGTTCTGCAAGTTTTCCGTACCATACAAGGAGGTTTTGAGAAGCTTTGAGAACACGGGGGAGGACTGCTGAAAAGGAGAAAAACTAGCATGCTCTTAGATTTAAAGCACCAGAATAAGGAGCAATGAGGCAATTATATTTTCCTACTCTATCGAAATCTCAAAACTAAGATTTAGACATTTCTTGGTCTGATTTAACTAAATCCTGATCAAGATATATATATTTTCCTACTCTTCATGTGCTTATTGGTGAATAAAAGTGCATGTGAATTTTAGTCTGATCCAAACGGCACATGAACAAAATTTGGAGTACCTTGCAAGAGAACAAGTTAACTTGAGGAGAGGACAACATGACATGACCCAAATAGAGCAAACCTAGTCACGTCTTAATTAGGTGTGCTCATGTTAAAAGAGTGTACTTTTTGCATGTCTGTGCCTACTCGTTGGCATTGTCTGTGGTTACTTGCTTTTGTCCATTTGAGTTATTCCCTGACGATCAGCTCGATTTTCCTAATTTCCATAGATCCAATTTTTGTTGCTCTTCTAGCAAATTTCCTGTACATCTAGCTCTTAGCATTATATTCTCACCATTTTTGGAATGACATACGATGCATAATCTGAGCTTCTAGATAAATGATCAGTGCTTTAGGATTAGTCTGGTTGCGGTTCACTTCGCTTTCTTTCAAGTCTTCTCGTAGCCTTGTGATCATATTACGTTCGTAATACTGTCAATAAGATAATGCTAACATCTTCCGCCAAATTTTCAGATTTATCATGTGACGTTCTCTGTGTGTACAAGCTGTTTTTCTTTTTCCCTTTTATTCTTCGCTCTTAAATTTCCATGCAATTCGACCGTGTTTCTTGCAGATTCTTGGAAGCTCCGGTTTGAAGATGGAAGTTGAGGTTCCGGTGGACTAAACTCCGGGTAACCATTCTCTGTCATATAGTATATTATGGCGTATTGAACTATATTTTGGCTACTTTAACTATCTTGAGAGTTAATCCAGTATGACCTAATGCAAACTCCACTGATATTGTGCATTAGTTTCTGCGTTTCTGCTCATATGTTTGATTGCATTAGTTTGACAATTTTAACGATGACGAGAAAAGAGACCAAAGCATGATGAAAGGGGTATACTACACCATTAGTCATCAAACTATTACTGTTTTTTCACTTTGGTCACCAAACTTTTTTCTCTGCAAATTTGACCACAAATGTCACGTCTTTTTTATTTTGATCATTAGCTGATAAAAATGATGATATGTTATTGTTTAATAACAATTTTAGTCTTCAAATTTATACACTTCATTAATTTGATTCTAATTAAAAAAAAATCATCCAATACTACAACCAAACTCAAAGTTTCTCATCTCTTTTCTTTTTCCTGCAACACTTCTCGCTTTCTCCTTTTATTGCCTATCTGTCAAATTGTTTAACCAAACATAGGGAAAAATTCTGTGAATTCCATTGCTTATAGAACTTTTCCTTTATCGGAATTATTATCGTGACATTATCACATGTTTAAAATATTAACATGATATTGTCACACATTTACAATTTTGATATGACACATTATATATCATAAGTGTTAATGTGATATTATCATATGTTTAAATCTTAATATGATATTTTCAAATGTATATAAATATTAACGTGACATATATCATTGCGTGTTCCAAATATAGGCCAAACATATATTTTATATCTTAAATGTTAACGTGTCATATTTTTGATTTGATTAACATTTATATAATTTTTATAACAGTGACATAATTAAGATACCGGAAATTGTTTTAGCGTACAATATCCAATCATAAAAAATATATTAACTTACTAAAAGAAAAAAAAATCATTTTCCATAAACTTATTACCAGGAAGCTCTTCTTCTCCAACTGTTTTCTGGGTATTTTGGAAGAATTATGAATTTCATTTTGCAATAGCAAATGAACACGTGGAGAGCACCATTGGGATTGAACTGATTTTGAGTATTTAGAATTGCAAGATGATGCATGTCAAAGTGCTGAAAACTCTTTCTTCTCACCTTTACAGAAAAGACTGGAAGATAGTGAAATTTATATACGAATTTAATATTTTTATTAATAAAATTCGATATCTATATCTTGTTATTGAAAAATATAGATCGAAGAAGATGATAAATAATAGTATGGAGTAAGAGTATTCCGAAAAAAGAGACCAATAATAATAATAATAATAATTTTTTTTGGTTTTGCATGAAGTTCATGCATGATCTATGGACCTATCTTTAGTGTTAATGTCAGGATTAAGATGATAATAATTATTTGTAGGTCGATAAAATGAATAAACCTGATCACATAGTAAAGTTAATAGTGATGGGATTGATAACAATTGGATTAAAAGACTAATGGTTTAAAAATATAAACTCCGAATATCTTTAAAAATTCAGTCAGACAAAAAATAAACAACGAAAATTATAATTAACGGATAAGACTCCTAAGAACTCCGAAAACCCTGTTAGACAAAAGATTAACAACGGAAATTACGATCAGCTGTAACATATTTACTGATAAATTGCAGTGCAAAGTGTGTTTTACATGTTTGATTTTATCACCCAATTCTTCAGTACCATTATATGTAATAATATAGTCTCTTTTTTAACTTCATATTCCTTGTGGAGGTCCTTTTCCTGGGGCATTTCATCATTCTTCCCCTTCATTTATTTATTTATTTTCCTTTTCTTTTTGTGTCTTCTTAAGCTTTGCACCAAAGTGGGATCAGCACTATGCGAATGTGTTTCTCTAAAGAATTTCTACCTACTTTGGCTCATTGAAATATCTGTCTGCTACCACTCAATGATTCGACATTTTCCCAGAATTTTTTGTCACTAACCATGCTTATTTAATATGTTATCTGCATATTGGTATTGATGGATAACTAGCTACACGTTGAGCTCGGTTCATACATAACAAAAGTTAGATAATGGATGATGGTGCCATAGGATTGCATACGGTTTATTTCTTTCGATTTGGATAAGAGACTATTGTTTAATAAAACAAAGAAGATGATAAATAACTGAGATAGACGAGAGAGAAAAAGAGTTGCTTTTCTCTGGTCTTAGTATTGGTATTAGGCTTAAGGTGACGATTATTATTTGTAGGTTGACAAGGTAAGTAAATCATGTGAGTGTGTCGGGTGTCATATAAGTATAGAATTCCATAGATTTTGAGTAACTCTAGTGTTTTTCTGATTCGACGTGCGGAGATACGATTTACGGAGAAGGTATTACAGTATCCTGTATAAAGTGTCATGTTGCCACTGCTAAACCTGATCTGTATGTAAACTTCTTTCATTTTCAAAGCCTTGTGGTTTCACAAGTTGACTATTGGACATTGATTTTCACATCAACCATTGATTATATATATAAAAAAAATCTCTAGTTCCTATCTATTTTCTTTTGCCTCAGACAATTTGGCCTACTGCAATAAGCTGCGATTTATTATTCTGAATGCTAGTGCAAGACTGAGGAATAACTGCAATATTGATTTTTGTTTATATATATATATATGAATTGTGATGATCATATACTCAAGTGGGAATAAAATATAGGGTTAAAGGCATCCACTAACACCAAGTCGTTTTAGGCAATATTGCTATGTTAATGGTAGGCTAAAAGAGAAACCGACTGCAATTTCTACATGGATATCATTCATGAAGGAAAAAGGTCATCTTTGGTTGGTTGATCACTTAAAAAAACGTTTTATGAAGGGTTAAGGTTTATTTCGATATGATTTGGTGTTCGAATTCTGACGTCTTGAACTTTTTTTAATCTTGGAATAACTTTACCAACAAAGAGATAATGTTTAAGTGAAAAAAAAATGAATACAATGATGTACTTCCTTGAAAATTTGATGTGGGGTGACAGTTTTCTGTCATTACTGTGTGATCAGATGAGCAACATCCTTGGAAGAGGGTTCTCCGGAACATTGTGGTCGGATTGGCGAGATATTGCTTTAGCCGCCCCATTTCAAGGGCGACGTCCAGCATGTTTGGTCTTGTTGAAGGGTTGTGTTGTGTGCACATGAGGCCAAGTTCAACCAGTTCCAATATAACATCACGCCATAGTTTATCATAACTTGTTGGCATTGCACCAGGCTGCACCTAACCAGTGCTTGCTTTACTATCGGTTCGAGCTTATGAGGATAGTGACTTTTCACCCATTCGTGCAAGCTCGAACCTGCTTCGTTGTCAATTGGACGCCTTCCCGAGACGATTTCCAACAAAAGGACCCCGAAACTGTATACATCGCCTTGAGTCGAAGCTCGTTTCCCCATTCCATATTCTGCAATTAACCAAGTGAAAGATCAATAACAGACAGTATCAACTAATAAGTAATAACACAAGTATAAAATCGAGTTAAGTTTAGATCGAAAATTGGAAATGCATATACCAGGAGCTATATAGCCAACAGACCCACATAACAAGCCATCTGCAGAGTTGTAGGAGATTGAATCATTTGCAGAAGTAGTCTCATCGACACCTCGAACCAGCCTTGCGATTCCAAAATCTGTTACCAAAGCTGTCATGTCTTCGTCGAGAAGAATATTACTCGGTTTAAGATCACAGTGAACAACTTTAACCGGTGCGTAATGGTGCAGATAAGCAACACCTTCAGCTACATCGCTGCAGATGTTCACCAATTGAATAAAATCTAGGCCATTTCGTATTCCGTGGCTCGGGTATAGGTGTCTCTCGAGGCTCCCGTTCGGCATCAGAGGAAGGACCAGAGCCTTGAAATCCGGCTTGCTGCAAATTGTTATGATCCTGATCAAGTTTCTATGCCTTGTTCGCTTTAGGACTTCACATTCTCTTTTGAAAGTCCCTGAAATTTCCCCTGCTGTCTTTGTGTCCAAAACTTTGACAGCTATTTCATATTGTCCCCGAGAATTCCTTTATAGACATGACCAAAACTGCCCGAACCAATGAAGCTCGATGCACGGAACCCACCAGTTGCTTCAATGAGTTGTTCATATGAGATTCTGGGGTACTTTAGCTCTTTCCTTTCGTTTTCTTCGTCTTCGAAATCCTCTCCATCGACAACGGCCATCCGGTTCCCGAACTTCGATTTGTTCACCAGAGGGTCTCCGAACATAAGCAACAAAGGTGTCACAAGCAATGAGGCGATGATAGGCAAGAATATAACCAAACGAGAAGGATATTTCTTTCGGCATTTCTGCAGGCCTTTAATCGAACCACAAAGACCATCATTCCCTACGAAAGAATCTATAGTCAGAGATGAAAATGCCCCCTTGTCTGATATATTTCCATGGAACTTGTTGAAAGAGAAGTTCATTGACACGAGCGTCATCGATGCCTGAAATGTTGCCGGTATGTCTCCGCTCAACTGGTTGAAACCAACATCGAGTTCTTTAAGGTAAGGCAACTGTCCTACGGAACCTGGAAGTTCACCTTCCAAGGCATTACTCAAAGGTTGAGGTGCTCGAGGGCAATGCAGTCCCCGAGCTGCGACGGAATGTTGCCCGAGAGATTATTGGATGATAGATCGATGGCTAACACCATGTCCATTTTACTAAGCTCTAGTGGTAAGGGTCCATGAAGGTGATTGCTAGAAAAATTCAAGTACAACTTCAAGCTCCTCAATCCAGCAACCTCACCAGGAATTATCCCGGAAAGCTTATTGTGAGAGAGGTCTAAAATCTCCAGGTTGACACATTTGCCTAAACTCAAAGGAATTGTCCCTGAAAGCTGGTTTCCATAGAGTAGTAATCTTCTTAGCTGAGCGAGGTCGGCGAAACTATCCGGAATCGAACCCGAAAGCTTGTTCATCGACAAGTCCAACAGCCCCAAATGCGTAATGTTTCCTAGAGCAACCGGAATCTCACCGGAGAGCGAATTATTCGACAGATAAACTCTCTCCAGTCTCTCCATTCTGCATAGCTCCTGTGGGATGGAACCATTCAAAAGATTGCTAGACAAGTTCAAGAGGGTGAGGTTCACAAGGTTCGAAATCCGAGGCGGAATCAGACCGTATATCAGATTATCATCGAGATGAATCTGTACAAAATTGGTGGAAAGATCACCGATAAAAGGAGGTATCTGTCCACCAAGGTTATTTCCTGCTAATTCTAGTTCTTGAAAGTTAGAAGAATTGAGCAAAGC